GGCCAAAAGGCATGCCCCAGGGGCATGCCCTCTGGGCATGCCTCTAGGGCATGCCCAGGGACCCCGTGCCACCTACCCTACAGATAGCTCTATGTATAGATTCTACGACTATGTAGATATTTTTTTACCTGGTTAGCAGGTTTTTATATCTGTAAACAAGTTCACTTAGATTTTAGAATAGTCTTTTAATTTCTTTAAATTTGGTCATTTTCTTTTTTGTTAGTTTTTTCTGTACTTACCCCATTTTCGTTTTTATACTTACCCAATTTTTTTTCTTTTTTACTTCTCTACGAGAAAGTGTTATCAGATTGGCAACACTCTATTGTAAAGCGGTGATTCTGACAAGGGCGGTGAAACTATCTGTTGATACCGGGGCTCAAATCCTCAGTAAGTTAAGGATCCTGGTGGAGGAAAATTTTCACTTAGGCGGGTCGCTCCTGGGTCATACTCTAGTGCTTAATTCTGGTGAGCTAGGATTAGGTTGCGATAATGAGATAGATCGAGAGATTCTTTATTTGAACAGGCATTAATAGTTTATGGAAGATAATGTAGATTTAGCTAAATTGAATATCTATTTGTATTTTATTGCCGATTTATAAAATAAAGAAAGGATCGCTGAAGTAAAAAAAAAAAAAAAAAATCGCATTTCAATAGAAGACAAGTTTAATTGATTTATCACGTGATTTATTGCAAATGAAACTTATATGATGCTAAAAATGTAAAAACATTATCTTTCTAGATCTACCAAGTCTTAACGCTGACCCTAACTTCACTCTAATACCAGCACTACCTTGTTTTTTTCATTCGGGCCCTAGTTTTGTTTTTTTCTTCATTTTTTTCAGTTTTTTTTTCAGATTTCTTTCGATTTTTCTTCTTTTTTTTTGATTTCCTTTTCTTCAATTCCTTTTTCATTTTTCGATTCCTTTTCTTTTTTTGCTTAATTTCCTTTTCTCTCTTCAATTCTTTTTCTTTTTTCGATTCTCTTGTTCTTTTTCGATTCGGTTTCTCTTTTCTTTAATTCTTTTTTTTTGACTTCTGATTATCCCTTCCTTTCGATTATCTTTCATCTCTTTGATTTTTGATTTTTTTTTTTTTTCTCTTTGTTTAGATAGCTTTGATCCTATTAACAGAGAGTCAGATCTCCTTGCCATCTACTTCTATAATCGCTGTGCGATCGTTGGATGTCAATGCTTTGAACACACCTTGTTGTGAAAATGTTGGCTAAAGCTTTCGCTTTTGTGTTTGTTAGTTCGTATCATGATCCGATGCAATAGCAATCATGGTTCTGGCTTCGATTATATTGTTTGGCGAATTTTTTTATAAACACTACCTTTTTTACACATTTTATCCTGGAATTTCTCTAGTGATGTATTGACAGATTGTTGAATTTGCAATATACGTGAAATATGTTGATCAACAATCTCAGAAGTGATATCAACATCATTACAATCACTTTCCTTAGGAATATTCTGCAATTTTTCGGGTATCATAAACACAATACATTTTCTAACCAAACATCACCTCGTATGGTGTATGATTATGTGCTTTGTGTGTGAAAAAGTTATACGATACAATGAAGGCATCAACAACATTAACCCAGTCCTTTCGTTATAATTGACTATTTTTATCCCAAAGCATTTTAGTAAAACCATGACCAATGGTCTGGTTGAGACGTTCAACCTGGTCTTGCGATTGTGGGTGCCAGGGGCGACCATGCCTGATAGTAATACCCAAAGTTCTACATATTTGGGTAAGGATTTTTACGACAAACTCCTTGCCATTATTATTTTGAAGAATCATGGGGAGCCCAAAACCTTAAAAACATCCTTTACAAGGTGATTTGCAACAGTATTAGACTCCTTGTTTTTTAGGTGAACAGCCACAAGGAACTTTGAAAACACGCAAATGTATATAGGTAACTATGCGAAACTATCATTCATCTCTATGAAATCACAAAAGTCCACAAGGTCAATCTGAACATGTTCTCACAGTGCTGTTAATACTACTAGTATCATATCAGTCTTTTCTTTAAGGTAAGTGTTTACTACACAAGAAGCACATTTATTGATATACGCCTAGACTTCTTTCTGCGTAATTCCAATATGGTGTTCTGAGATAGCGGTGAACGTCTTGTGATAATTATAGTGGTTTGTTTGATCGTGAAAATGCTCTAATATCCAGGTGCATAATTCTTGGTCATACTTAGAAACTATATGATGTCTTTTATATGTAATACTATTCTTTATAATGGCAGGAGTATATAAGGCTCTATTTTCATCTAATACAAATTTTATGCATTGACAAATAAAGTTTGTTTTGATGCACTTTTTCAGAACATCTTCGGGTATTGTTTTTGAGTGAAAATATTCCACTATCGCTTGGTATTCAGCTTTTGTCTCAGGGATTTTTGGAATCGCCAGTATAAGTCAACAAAAAAAAAAGTTTTTTCAAAAAAAAAAAAAAAGTTTTTCAATAAAAAAAAAAAAAAAAACTCGCAGAAAGAAAAAATTGCAAGCTCGAGTTGAAAAACAGTTTGGACAAGTAAATTGTAAAAAAAAAAAATACTATTCTCGGTAAATGACACTCACATATGCATTGTTATTATATTCCCATATTAGTGTGTTGGGTGGGTGAATGAACATAAAAAAATCAGTGTGTTGAGTAGGTGGGTGGGTGGTCAAATATAAAAAAAAAAGATTTTTATGCACAAATGTGCATAACAAAACAATGATATGATTGTTGTATTGTACAATGTGATTTGCAATTTTTCAGCCCGAATTCTATATACGGCATGATCGTTACATGATATGATCTGCAATTGCTGGCCTGAAATGTCACGTGATCTTTAGCATCAGCCATCACATATAATAATAATATAAAATATATAATCAAATTTAAAGAAAAATATAAGAAAAATGTTAATAAAAATTCGTTTATATTACAACAGAGAAATTTTACATAGTTAGTCAATTGTATTTTAGCAATATCTCAACAACTACTAAACTGTTTTTAATAATCTTACTACTATTAGATGTGCTTTAATAAGCTCTACAATTTTACTTAATATAGAAGAGTGATTAACTTAGTACAAAAAAAGTTTTCTTTGGATGAACATCACATTTAGAGTATATAGTGATCTGTATCACATTATACTATGATCATGCATCAGGTGACTGGCGAATCACTAATTAAAGAAACTATTAAATAGATTAATAATAGTTGATATATAACTTCTTTAATTATAGTTACTTTTTTGCAATATAATAATTTTAGAAGCTATATCTGCTTTTTCAATTGATATATTAGCTATATTAGCTATATTATATAGTTTATAACTAGTGTTTCTATTCATTATTTGTTTATCTATTTATCTATTAGATATCCAAATCTGAATTTATTCAGATATCTGTTTTACTATTAATATCTGGATAATTA